GCCATTGGACCGCCAGCATCCGAGGGATTCCTCTTCCGTGGAGAGGGCGGTGATAACAGTGATAGCGGCGATAGCGGTGGTGGCGCACTTTACCCTATATCTAGGGGAAACCGCGTTAGGGAGGTTTGTGGGCTGCGAATGGGTGTGCTCCGATTTCCGGTGCAATTCTACGTCCTCTTCAACGCTCATCCATTAGGACAGCTTCCGCTTGTCCGATGCAAATTATCTCGTGTTTTCCGAATTTTCTGCGAATTTCGATTTCCAAAGAAAAGAAAAAGGAAATAAGAAAAGTCAAAAGCCACCAAATAGAATATTCATTTTATTGACCCGTCGATCGGGAATTCCGCTCGCGCCCGGAAAGGAGAAATTTAATTTCCTCCATTCCCGACCGCGATCGACTTCGATCAATCATCGAGATTAACTCTAAGAATCCGCCGCCGAGTATATTATCCACTTTAATGCACCCCGCTTCTTTCGGAATCAATATTCCATTGTGCCGGTTCGATTGCTTCCTCGCTCTCGTGAGAAAATATTGATCCATTATCGGCCATAAGACCGACCTTTTTGTCGAGTCCCCCGAAGATCGCTTCGACCCGCTCATGACGCTTCGTCGAGTCATTCCAGTCATTCCATTACTTCCATTGATCGAGGTCTGAAAGTATAAGAAGACACTTCTTGACTGAGAATCCCCACTCACTGTCTGATCCTCCTCTTGCAGTCGATCGTTGCATCTTAAAATTGAAAATAAATAGGGATCGTGTTATATCATGTTTTTGGGCAATTCATGAGGTAATGTAGGCTTGCACTTTGTATTTAGGTAATAGGTTCGAGTTACGTGATGCGGCGCTATTAGCTTGGATCACGTTCAGCCGGCGTGAAATATTGCAGAAAAATCGGGTCGCCCTATTTCGATCTCCTTCCCCACTTTATTCCCTCTCTCTCTCTTGTTTCCACGTACGGGGCAGACCATAAAGCGTCTACACACGTCGGCTTTAACGATTCGGCCGGTAAGTGCCCGGCTGCCTACTTTACGCCATCCCGAGTTACTGTGACCTCGTCGCTCCTGGTGCATCCAGCAGACCCACCTTGCACGTCTCCTGCACTCTCGTATGGATTGGTCGATTTCCCCGATTCCGCATCTTTCCGACACTTCTAGGTGAAGTTTCGAGCCACGAAGAGGGACTCTGAAAAGTTCCTCGGGAGGTACTTGAATGGAAATTCTGAGACGCTGAGGAGTTCGAGATTTTTTTAAGTCCTCGAGGAGGTCTTCGAAGTTCCTCAACTCCATTCGGAATTCTTTAAAAAAATCGCTGAAATGTTTAGGGCAATGCGTAAACATGAAATTTGAAATAGATGTACAGTTCGTGGAGTTCTGTCATCGTGATCCATTTTACCTGGTCACCAGGTAAGGCACAATTCTCTTCCCAGATGAACGAGGGCCTCGCCGAGGGACACATCGGCGTTGCACCTTTAATGCACGCGGTGCATATTTTAGAGGGTATGTCGAAAGTGCTCCCGTTGTTTTCCACGATAACGAGACCGTCTCGAGGCTGGAGAGTGGCTGACAGTATCAGGATTTCCCGGGGGTGAATCTTCGAAAAGTGGACGGGGAGGACCCGCGGGGGATGCCGTCAGGTTTCCGATTTGCGGATCCAAATTCTCCTATCAATCCACCACACGATTCGCCAGACGATTTGCTCCATTTCATAGTCCTTCTAGTTACCCCCATTCACGGCATCACCGCCTCTGCTCCCTCTCGCTCTAGAAAATCCCGAAAATTAATTTCCCCCCTCCTCAAGGCCTCTCGTGAATTTTTCTCCTGACAAGTAGATGTTGGAAAAGTCGACGGAAGACGGCTCGATTAAATGCCATGTGAAAAATTCCGTGATTTTTCTCCCAGAATAACCGGTGAAGATCTATGTCAGATATGCGGTCGCTCGCGGTTTGCACGCGGCGCCATTATATCATCATTGCCACGCGGAGATATGCTCGATCGGTCAGATCCATCTCTCAAACATTTATCCTGGAATCTCCAGGATCTCCAGTGGTCCAGCAGCCGGCATTCGCCGATGCGGTCGGCAGGATCTCACGTGGTTTATGTCCGTGCTTCCAAAGCCAATCCTGCAGAGAGTGGTCCAGCAGCGTTTGAGCCAGAGACCCAAGCGATTCGAGGGTGTAATTAATGATTAATAATTAACCCCATCCTCCGGCTGGCCGGGGAAATAAGCCAACAGCCTTTGGCAATTATGTAGAAAATATTAAAATTCAATTTTCAAAGCTGCCGCGGAATTCCGGCCGCGATGGGCGGTCCTTTGATCTCGTTTTTGCAGTCTTTCAAGATCTAGAGCGAAGGAACGCAAAGGGGTTTGTCTCCGAATTTACGACGGCGTTTTATGAGGAACGGTTCGTCTTTTTAGGCGCTTTCCAGGTTCCTTCTTCCGTTAAATAGGAATCCAAGTGCCGGGGCTCATCCCACAGGACGTTTGACCCCAGCATCCAGGGATGCTGGAGCAGAGGCCGGGAGGAAAGAGCCAATGAAATGAGGATGTCTGCTCGGGAAATTTTCAGAAATATTCATGCTCGAGGGCGGACTTTTCTTCTTGTTCTCTGGTGTCCCTCTGCCCGGCCTTCCCTCCGGCAGGACCTCCAGGAGTATCGAGGATTACGGTCTCTCGAATTCAAGGAGAGTCTCCTTTCCTGCCTTTTGTCGGGGCATTAAAGCCATTTCTCGCGGAGGCACTCTCGGAAATAACAATTTCCACTTTTTTCTTCCCTATCTTGGAATGAGCTACCGTCCTTTCGCTGCTTCCGGGAAATATTTTCCAATCGGAAGGATCTGAAGGAACCCGGCACGAGCTGGAAGATAAGGGCCGAGTTCTTTTGAGAAACGCTTTCGGCTAACTTTTTTGTCTAATTTAATCCCAGTTCATTTTCTGGACCGTGCGATGGAGGAAGCTTCATTTATTTCCGATCCTGCTTTTCGATTATTTCCCGCGAGAAAAGGGGAAACGCCGGAAAACCTCCCAGAAGGACCTTGCCAATCATGACCCCTAGAATGAGGTAATACAAACGTATCGGTGGAAGCAAATACTATCAGCGAAATTGTTCGCCGCAGCAATCATCTTCAGGTTTCCGATAACGAGCCTGACAATTTTTACGTCTTTATTTCCGTAATATAAACCCGGAGAATCGCCCGCGGAAAGCGTTTTGCCTCTTCTTATCGACTTTATTCCTCGATATCCCAACGATAAGTAATCGGTAAGTTAGAAATCCACTGAAAAGGAATCTTTAGAAAGGATATTCCCGATAAAAGCCAGGGAATTTCTCCTCCCCTTTATTTATATGTACATTTTTAAGTAAATGTGGAATTTTTAGGATCGACTCGTCTTCTCTTTTTCTCGACTTTTTCCCTTCGTTTCTAATTTAAAAATAATCAGAGACGGATTAGTTGAAAATCGAACCGTGATGTGTCTTGAGATGAGCTGGGCACCGTGTCGAGGGTTGAATTAATCTTACAACAGACTGCGAGAAGTCGATAAGAGATTCTAATCCTGTGGGGTAATCTCCTTTTGGGCCGCGGAGACGCCCACTAATCCTGCCTGGCAGATTCCCGAGGGATCGCGATCCCTTGCCGGTAATTTCGAAAACTTTAATATCCCCTCCAGGGCTCGCGACAAAGCACGAATTTATGGACGAGTCTGGAAAAGAAAAGAGATTTGTGCCCAGCTAAGAGCTTCCTGGATGCTCAGCTAGAAATCCACGAGGAAGAAAGGAAATATCCTGGGATCTTCAATACAACTACGAGTTGCTCTCTTCTAGGTTCCCTTTTCCACCATTTCCAAAATCTGCTTCCTGTAATATCCACATTTTTCCACACATAATTTTTACAATCATTTTCTACCTCCCCCTTGCCTTGAATTAATTTCTATTGGGTATGTAAACTTGCTCGCTGCTCGGGAAATATTAGCTAAAGAACAGGGTTCACTGTTCAAGCGAAATAATTTCTTGTACTGGAAATGGCCGATCAGTTCACCTGAATTGGACATGACGTTATTAAGAGAGATTAAGAATCTCGCCGACCAGATATTCGTTATGGCAGAAATTAATATCGCGGATAAGAGATTAAGCGCCGCATCGATTTCCCCGATGCCCTCATACTTGACGTTATTCCAATCGGCGGAATCATAATTCTATTGATTCATGTAGATTATGTTAACTGAACTTTACAGTCCAACCGCGATCGGAGCAGAGGCCAATTAATTGGGGATGCATTTCCTCGACTTGGTTATATTTTTCCTTCAGTTCCTATAATTTAATCATAGAAATTAAGTAGACATCTTGATAATACCACCCTACGGCTCTTAATTAACTTGCTAAAATCTGATTTAATTATAGAACATTCCTTCCACTTCGAATTATTTATTTATTCGGCGTATGTCTCGGAAATCCTGTTGCATTTGTCATTAGCATTTGGGATCTCTCTTAGAGAGTCTACCGGAGTACTTGGCCTGTCTTCATGTACATTTTACGACTGTTCTTTATATTCAACACACGTTATGTCAGATGGCCGGGCACCTTCTATATTTTATTAGTGCCGAGGAATTTACTACCCCTGGCTCCTGTATGTTTCATCCACCCCCTCGTTCGCAGAATCCCATTGAAAACAGCCGAATCGATCTCCCTCAAACCGATGAAATTTACATAATGGATCTGCCCGATCGGGCGAATGAATTAGCATAAACAAATTTACAATTCCTCCCGTCCTTGTTTATCCAAACGCGCTCTTGCTACGTTTAGGTCCCTAGATCTGTGTTTTACGGCGGTTTACACATTCGCTCGATTTTGTTTGTATTTAATTTTCCCTCCCTGCTTTTCAGATAGGACGGAACTGTTTCGTACTGTTTAGGCGTTGCAACAGGTTGGAATTCAACAGGTTCGGTTGATTCTGCCGAGCGGACTGCAAAGGGAACTATTTGGCACGAATACCTTCGTCATGAACAAACGATTGAATTTTTATTTTATTCCTTCCACCTTCTTTCATTTTTAACACCTTCTCAACGTGACCCAAAGATAACATCATCACTAAAGCCAGGACAGAATTGTATACGATTTATTCTTAACATTACAATATTTTTATCGCCAGTGGCAATGATTCCGAGGCCACGTGTCTGACTCTAAGATTCTTAATATTTCTTATAAAGAAAATTGAGCGGTTTAGTATTTCGGGAGGAGATATTTAACAATGCTCAGACCGTTGTTGGTGCTGCTCGTCATGTGACAGAACTTGAAGGGATGGTTCAGACGTCCTAGGTTGTTCCAGCCTTGTTCTAAGGAAACTTTCGAAACTGTCTGAGTGGTATCAAAAGTTTGCTTTAGAGTTAACAGCCTAGTTTTCTTTAAGTTGGATGTTTGTTGACGTTTGAAAGTGGCGAAATTCGAGGCTCTTCGCCTTCTCGATCGACCCCGCGGAATTAATTCGAAATCTTGACCCTCGATTACTCCTTCCTTCGACTCGACTCTAGTCGAACCCTTCCAAATACATTTTCGATCGGACATTTTTTCCTGGAGGTGGTTTTGTTAAAGATTGTGGCGGGATATTGTACGTTATTGATTTTATCGAATTTGGCTTAGTTGAATTCTTCGAATCCTCTGAGGCGGACGGATCGTTGTTGCTACGAACATTGACCACATAATTAATATTCTGATTTATATTTTCTTGATCATTATACTTATTTCTTCTCTTCGGCCCTGAGACTTTCACGCCCTTGACTCGAGTTTTGGATTTGGTTTTAATGAATATCTTGTTCAGATTTTTATTTCTCTCGGGGACATTATCTTCATGCCTCGGCAATGGTTTTGGTACTCGCACCTTTATAGACAGTTTCTGGTTCAATTTTGGATCATTTTTGACTTTCCCTTTAACCCGCTTAGATTTTCCAGGTTTACCCTTAATTTTCAAATTTCCAGACGGACCGTTTATCGATACTTTGGCCCATTTCTGTGCTGACTGATTATTCGTCATCTTGATCGACCCGTCGGAATCCGCTGCAATGGAGAATTCATTTTTCTTGCCATTGCTCACTCTTTTAATATGCAAATTTGGCAAGAGGACGGATTTTCTCCGTAAAATCGGCGCGTCCTCGCTCGTTGTCGAAACTTTATCTGGAGTCTCATCTCTTGATGGTCTTGAAAAATTTCCCTCCTTCTTCCTCCCACCGGTCCTTAATTCGGGATGCTTTAAGTTATCATCAATTGATTTATCCGATATGGGTGGTTCAGATTTCTTTACGGATTTAGAGTGCGATTTTTTCACCTTATTTGCAGAAGTTCGGCCTCTTCTTTCTCCATTCGAAGCAGGATATTTCGCGTCCTTTCTTCTTGTTCCCGAATCTGGAACCGGAGTGGAGTTCAAGTTTGCGACACCCGACGGTCCTTTCAAAACTTGGTCCTCCGTTTCCTTGATAACATCCTGCGACACTTCCGATGTCTTGACTTGTTTGACTGCACGCTCTGCAGATTCCCATTCATCTGTCAATGCCTCCGTGAATTTCGTTTCCGGTTCTTCAACATCCTCTGCCGGTTCCAAACTGATTTCAGGCCATGTAGGAACTCCACGCGAGAAGTTCTTGCATTTATTGTCACCGTTTACAGGAAGTACCCATTTATCGGCAACATTTAATCCCTTGAGAATGGCAGATATTATTCGCGAATTAATAATCTCTCTCAAAGGGTAATCCCAAAGAGTCTGATAATCCTGTTCCTCTCCAGGATCTGGAATTACATTACACAGAATTTTCTTTTTTGACAATTTACTGGCTGACGACCTGCGATTTGACTTACTCGGTTTACGGGATGAAGTTCTCCTGGACTTTTTTCGAAGTCTTTTGGATGGAACTTCACGCAGTTCGTCAATTGGGCATTGATTAATTACAATTATTACGGGTTCCTTGTCTTCCACTTTTCTCGGATATGGGGTCCATGGCGTTTCCCAATTTCTTATTGGTTGGTACCAAAATGGCGGCATCTCGTAATCCATGATTTCAGGTCTTTCGTTAATAAAGTATCGGCCATCCGGGATGTCTTTAATGACTTGGCCATAATTCGCGATAATTGACGTATCTGACGGCGACTCGTTGATTAGGTCTTTATTCTCTTCTTCAAGAGGCGCCCATTGTCTTTCTGGAGGATCTTCATGGGGTTCTTCTCGGGGCTTTTCCGTGTTCAAGACTAATGGTTCAGGGTTAAAATCGAATCCCATCCTGGTTTGGACTTGATTTGACTTGACACCTCTTTTGGGAACCCGAATGGATGTCTCTGGAACCTTCTTATGAGTATCATCATCATTTTCATTAAGTTTACTCAATTCTTCCTGGTTTAACGCTTGAACATCAACAGCATCGCTGACTATTTCTTCTGGCTCTGTCTTAAAGTCTTGCACTTCTAGATTAATCTGACTAACATCCGGCTTAATTTCTTCCTTACTTAAACTTTCTTCTGTTAAATTAGAAATGGGATCCCCTGGATTTGCGACTAATCTATCACTCGTTTCAGGCATTGGCGATTCATCTTCATTTTCCGGTGAATCAATTTTTTTCGACTCGGGAATTTCTTCATTAGAATTTTTATCAGATGTTGGTGAAGATGTCTGAGTCTCGACCTGTACTTCCGGATCCGCTGCTTTCCTTTTCTCGTCGTTTTGAATTACACTCGTGATATCAGGTGTACTCGATGTAGTACCAGAATCCGTGATAACGACAGTGGTGGAGTCATTGACTACACTCGATGAACTTTCGGATGGATTTCCAGCAGGATCAGGAAGAGTGGCGAAACTTATACGACTCTCCAGTTGGATACCATCGGGATCATTTTCCTGATTGGTCGAATTTTTATCAGATAAGTCGCTGGATGTATTCCGAGAGTCAGGCAATGTCGAGGCATCGATGTCATCGATCTTGGTGGACCCTTCTTCATTATTCGTCCTCTCAGCATTTTCATCAACAGAAGAGGTTATCGCACCGTCATTAACTGCAGTCTGATTGGCAAGAGCAGCGAGATTAATTAGATCACTCACAATCCTGTTTTTGATTCCATTCACGACGGTGGAATTTTTTAGAAGAGCCTCCAAAGTATCCGACGATAAATTGTCGCCCTTTGTTGATGACTTGGCTTCCTCTTTCGAAGTAGTTGTGTCATCCGAAGTTTCAGGCACAGTTGCTGAAGTACTCGAAATATCATTTTTCACTTCCGTCGTAGAAACTTCTTCCTTACTTTTTGCTTCAACTTCCTCCAGAGGAGGACTCGTCGATGATGAGGAGGATTCATCAGCAAATGAAGTCGTTTCCGGCTCTAGATCTCGTTTTCGCACCTTGCGAGTCGCTTCTTCAGTTCTCTGCGTGTCATTTGACGGTCTTTCCGGTACTTTCGAAGTCGACTCTTCAAAGTCGGCGAAATCGTTCAGAATCCTTCGTTGAAGATCCTCGATGACAGAGGACCCTGGAAGCGTCGTCGACAGATTTGTCGATGAGTTTTCGGTTAAATCGATTTTTCCCAACCCAAACTCATTTTCTGGGAGGGCAGTAGGGTCCTCTTTGATCACGCCGCCCTTAAATAATAGGGTACAATTAATGTATAATTTAATGCGAAGTGCCCGTTTAAGGAGCTCGTATTAAAACTTCTTTGGAAAATAATTGAGGCAATTAATGATTGGATAAAATGGGGATTTTTATACTTGAATGAGTAATTCGAAGCTTTGCTTACTCACCAGTACGAGGACTGGCAGCAGCCAGGTAACCGAAGTAACAAGGTACATCTCTGAGTAGCCTCGGCAGAGGATTCGTCAACCTCATTTATACTTCACGTACTATACGTCGAAACCTCCCACGTGGTAGCTGATAACCGCTGCTTTATTGACACATTTAGACACACATTACCGATGGTAAATTTTTAGCACCGGTAAAAGTGCCGATTGTTAGCAGCCACAAATGCAGATTCGTTGCCGCGAGTCCATAAAGCGAGGGCACTTCCCATCTCGGAAAAGAAATCGATGACTTGGACGGAGAAGTCGAGGAAGTCGAGTTTTGGCAGCTCTTCGTCGCAGGTGTTCGAATTCAAAAGGAACCAACTTCCTCCATTTCACGACAGGGACCTCATCACTTTCCTCGGCTTCTCTCGAAGAAATCTTGAAGTACCTACCGGGAGGAGGAACGCGATTTCCCTAGGAACGCAGAATCCCTAGATTTCGCTCCTCTTCGTCCTACCCCGACCTTTCCCAATTCCGGGGTGGTGATATGAATTTTCGAGGAATTCTCGCGCTTCTTCAAAAATAGGGCTCCCTCGAGCGATTTGTTTCTAAGAAAATAAACGAGGAATATCACGGCTGCCTGGGGTAACTCCGATTCTTATTTCGGAGGAGTTGAGTCCCAAACACACGCCCTGACCTTTCCCAATCCCGAATCAGAGTCCCCTTCAGGGTTCTTTTTACAGTCGAAATTCCAGCGTGAAGATCAGAATTTCCAAGGAATTCTCACACTCTTCCAAAAGTAGGGTCCCCTGAGCGGTTTATTTCTGAAGAAATAAACTAGGAATTTTACGGCCGCCTGGAGAGACTCCGTTTTCTATTTTGGAGCAGTTGAGCCTCAAACACCCACCATGACCTTTCCCAATCCCGGTTCTGGGGGCGTCCCTGAAGAGTTCTCTTCGGGATCTACCCTGATTCCTTTTTAGACAATCCGTTCCCACCCAGGAAAATAAAAGCTGATAAATTCGTAGCTTTGTAGCGACTCGACCCATTATTCCCACCCTGAAGAGATGAATCTCTCAGATGTCATGTTGGTCCTCTTGAACTTTCCCAATCCTGCAATTCGGGCGTCGCTGGAATTCCTCGAGTACCTTGGCACGAGTCTTCGAGAATTGGAAGGGTCCCTATAGGTAGATTTGTTCGAACTGGTATTGCTCGATTCGTGTTTGTGGGCCCGGCGTATTCCTAACATGCCTTCCACGAGACCTACACGACCTGATATTGAATCGGCCGCCATTGGCCCGCTGCACTTCGTGTACGCAATATTCCGCGATCCTGTACGTGCAGCCCCGTCGATATTGCATCGAAGTACAATACGTGACGTGCGGCGATGCCAATAATAAATGGTCGATCTTAGACCAGCATGATAAGCCGAGATAAAAATAAAGACCGTAATCAGCATCCCTCCCCCATCCCAATTGCGCACTTCACTTGACATTAATCACAGCAAAAGTGATTACGAAAATGATCCAGGGGAATTTCTACTGTACATATCCTCATGCTTTTAGTAAACCGAAGGTGACAGGTGTGAATCGCCGATGTTTATAAATTTCTCCCACGGATTTTGGGAATATTAATTATTAATTACCTTCTCGTTTTATTGTCAGTAGTTATGGGAGTGGTCCTAAAATCGATCTCGCGAGAGTATTCCCGATCAAAGTGCGGCGCTAAGCAATTCGATGACGTTAATATGGCGATCGGGGAAAATCGCTGAAAGTGCGATTCCTGTTTTATATGCTCCGGGGTAAAAGCAAAAATTAGGATGCACCGTGGAGGGGCAATCGATATTCCACGATGTCGTCGCGTTTGCCTCTTGGCCGCTTGCAAAATCCGGTGACACGACAATTGCATCGCGCAATTGCAGTACCATCTCCGACAGACCCCGGGCTCCGCCATTGGGATTTCATCGACTATGCAAAATTCGCATTGATCACGCTCGTACGCTTGTGGTCGTGTCGATCAATGATTTAAAAACTACCTATCGACTTCATGGCTCGGGATAAAGGCGTTCCACGCCAACTATCGGGGAATATGAGCCAATTAAAATTAGATCATACGAGGTCATAAACGCGGTTCCATATTGCGACTTGACCCACCTCGTTGAGATACTCATTCTCCTCGATTTGAAAGAAGACATTAATTCATCAAAAAATTAATCCACCGCTTAGGAAAGGGGTATTAATTTATCCCAAATGGAAAGTGCATTTCTGGTACTATGTACTTAGGTTTAGAAAAATTACAGAAATCCAGGAAAATTCAGGAACGCTCGATAACGATGGCTCCAAAGGGGACGTTAAATGCAAGGGCCGAAAGAAATTCGAGCGTGACGTGAAGTTTAATTAAAAATGAAAATGCGAACTTCCGGGAGGGTGGAATGGGCTATCGATTGTGCTTTAGAAGAACTGGGAGCAGCTATCGGCTCGATAATGGTTGTTTAGATCGAAGGGGAAAAAAGTACAGCGATGTAAGGGTTCGTCGAAATTGGAAATATCTGCGAATCTTCGTCCCATCGGGACACGGACCGTTTTAAGGAAAGCACGGAAAAGTCGGCGATAACTGCCGTCGGGCTGATAATGGCTCCTAGAATGTCGAGCGACCTTCGATGGAGGGGTGGAAAAGAAAAGGGGCACATAATAATCCTAGGATGTGGCGCTCCATCGCGTGGACGCGCCGTCAGCACCTTTCGGTTCCGGAACGCTTCCTGGAGGATATGGTTCCAGGATGGAGTGCTTCGGAAGACTCCTGGAAAATCGAGCCCCCTAAACGAGTCGGTCCCCTCGGGATAAAGAACCCGAGCTAACCTATGAGGCTCCTGTAAAAGCTTCTCGATGAATGAAAAGCTCCGATTCGGGGGAATCTGGGACCGCGCCGACGTGTTCTCCATCTCTCTCGAAAAAAATCACTCACTCGCTTGAATTCACAAAAATAAATCGCAATTTTGATTCTATTACTCTGCAATAAATCCCATTCATGGAACTACATTGATATCGAATGTTTCGAGCAATTGTTACCTACAAGGCTTCCTGTTATAAGCTTCCCCTCGAATGAAAAGCTCCAAGTTTCTTAAGAGATAATTACTTTCAATACAACCGCCACGCCATTTTTCCTCGAACAAGGGGACAGTAATATTGAATCGTCATTATCTATTTCCCGATAAATCCTCGTACATCAATCGCGTGGAGTATTTACTGGAGAATAGATTTATTTAGCGGGATATCCAAAAGGAGTTCAGTGGATTACTCGAGGGTCGATCGAAGGGTTACACGGAATCGATCACAGGGGATTTCGGCTATTCCTTGAAGAGCAAACCACCTTCCTTCTTATTCCCGGATTTTATTTACACAAGTTAACAATCGTTAGAACAGACCGTGGGGAGAGACAGGCGACGTTAAGGGCCCACTTCAACGGCGCCTTCGTTTACCTCGGAATAAATGTGGCAGAAAATGGGGGAAAATGAAAAGAGAGATATTTCTATAGATTGGGGGTTTCCTAAAAACGTGAAAATCCCGATTTTTTCCCGGAAGGGTATTTTTTTCCTTCTGGCCGTCCTCGGTGCCAAAGTGCATCCGAATTGCACCATAAAGCGGACATTACGCCGCGCTGTAAATCGAGCCCTTAAGGCCGCGTTATAGCGGATGTTCCGCTTTAGGATCGCGGCACTTTTTCGCCGAATGAAAACAAATCGACGATTTACGAGCTGCGAACGATGTCGGCCGAGTGCACGCGATATGCGCTTCTTTATTCCTCCTGAAAGTCTCGCGATTCCGCGACACGGCTTTGACTTTTCAGCCCGGAACACGCGGGAGCTGCATCAATCTTATCTCCCGTAACAATGGAGCCCCGTCGTAAAGCTCGAGATGAATTGGACGATCCGGCGAAAAAAGTTCAACCAAAGAGTGGGGAAATAAATGCAAGCTGGCGTCCGTAAACCTACTTCTCGCAATCTCGTTCGATCGCACTTGCATAAAGTGCGTGAAAGGCAATAAAGATATCCCGGAAGTGGTGGAAAAGTAAAATTCCAAATTCCCCATCTCCGTGGAAAATATTAATTTCGAATGGCGGTCGGGTTGAATTTTAAGGGAATACTTTTTATGATCGTCGGGGCCGATTGTAAATCTTCACTCGAGAGATCGTTAAGGTAAAAGGTATTTATCTCGGAGTAGAAATTTTATCTCCGGATCATCGAGAGATCTGGTTTCAGTCTCCCAAGGAATTTCTCGAATCCCCAGGGATTCCGCTCGAAATCCTCCCAGGACTTCCCAGCTTCCTTCTTTTTATTGGCACGGGATTGTCGTGGCTGCAATCCTTTTTGCGATCTGGATAAAGTGTTCTCACACAGACCGAAGTCGACTCGAGTCACGTCGGATTCAATCGGACCGACGGATTTAGTTGTCCATTTTCCTTATTAAATCGCATCGCCGGGGGGCCCTGAAATTCCCGATACTAATTAATTAATAATTTATAACCGGAGCAGCCATCAATACCGCAAAATATCCCGAGGGAGCTCGAAAACGGTGATTTCCACTTAAAATTCGCGCCCCTAAAAATTCCCATTTGTTCCCTGAACGTTTTCCCTTCGTGTTTTAATCCCCAGTTACTGGTAACATGTTCCTACAATTTTCAATTGTAATTAGGAGATGCGCAATTTTTATTGTTCCCCTGCTTTTATAGGACAGGGTCGTTTTCTGGGCGTATCTTTTTATTCCGCGCTCGCCCTAATCACCATAGTCCTCTTGGGGGTGGATGCGGTTTTTCTTTCGCAAAATGGCCGTCCTCTTCCTCTCTCCGCGTTATGAAATCTTCAAAGTCCCTGTCCATTCTGGCCGGCGAGTCGGCAGTTTCTCCCGGCTCGCGGAATTAAAGCGCTTCCGCACGTCGAGCTTCAAAAGCTCGGCCTGATGGCGCAGCCTCCGCTGGACCACTTTCGAGAGATGCGCGCTTTTTGCCATGATTTACTCGCATTTCGCACCAGCATGCAACTGCAAGTGTGCCTGGTGCAACGGTGCTGTATGCAAATGCACCCCACAAAGCAGCGCGATTTTCCTGCTATGTTTGCAGCGATTCTTCTCCGTTTATTTTTGTACAAGACATTTTTACTCCTCTCCTCAATGTTAACCCGACTCGTTTTTCGCACTAATTATATGGAAATTAATGGCACTTCGGATACTGCTCTGCCGAGTTTAATTCCGGCATCGGGTGATTTCAATGCCCCAATTTCCCTGAATTACCCCTGATTTTCGAAACTCAGGGCCACTTTGTCTCGTGGGAAACGCACGTTTCCATAATTACAAATTTCATCCCGATTGTATATCGGGGTTTTAAAGCAATTCACACGAAGGCGCAATAAAGTTGAGCCCGTCGATGGAAATCTATAACTCGCCATTCCTCGGTTTTACACGGACCCATCTCTCTCTCCGGGCTGTCGATTGGAAGTTATCCCTTCAATTTTTCCGAATAATGTTTCTCCGTTTCGGGATTAAACGTCAGGCTTGTCAGCGACGTGTTCCCTTTGTTCCCGCCGATGCAAAAGGGATTTAAAGCGACGAAGTGCTTGAAACATCGACCCCGCGGACGCAATACGGAAAAGTGCAAACCGAACCGCTTTTACCGAGAAATAAAATCTTAATAAAATTTTCACAGCTCAGTAACCATTTATATCATTTATTTATAAGCGGATACTTCATCTTAAACGAAGAGAAGTTGAGCTTTCGTCGGACTCTTCACTCGTCACCACTTCTTTCGGTGTTTTCGAATGGCCTTCCAATTGTCTCTTGCTTCTTCTGTCTTCTCAGACCTCTGTCTAGTTCTTTCTATTTCTTATTCTTATTTTTTCCCGCGGTCTTCCTCGACTTCTGCCCCAATTGATCCAGCTCGCTGGTAAAAGCTCATTCCACCGTGGCCACCTGCAATTCCCTGCTGTCCTCTCCGGGTCTTTCCTCCACCCTCCGCGGCAACTGATAAAAAGCCTCAAAAAGACAAACGGCGGAAATGTAATTTCCTAGGACGTCCTGTCGCGTTCGAAAGGACCTCTTTCTTTCCCAGGACCTTTCACGGACCCTCTCCAGGGGCTCTTCGAGTGTGGATTCTAAAAAGAATCAACACGCCGATCGTGGCTGTGAGAACCCCGCGAAGACGTGGACCGCCCCGTGAAAGGCGATAAAGAAAAGACGACCTCGCCATTTTTGTCCTGAATTTCGCGTGACGTAATGCACCACGTCTCTACAGGTGAAAAGGAAAATACCTGCGAACCTCCTGAGACCTTCCATACTCCCTGCAAAAAGCTCGACTCTTTTCCAATACCCAAACCATGACCAAGACCCTTACCCTCCCTAGCATCATTTTCTTCAACATTCCCCTTACTCAGAAATAAAAAAAAAAGTCCCATATTTTCCTAAGAAAATTCATTATCAAACCATGATAACGCGAACGGGTAGAACCGGTAACCGAAAATCGGCGTCTTTCGCAAGACGTCACAATATCAGTCATATTACCCAGAGATAAAAAGAAAACCCTGCAATTTTTCCTATGAAAATTCAATGACGTAGAGGCCATTGCAGAACTTCCGGAGAATGTTGGAAAATTCTGAAACTGCCAATTTTTTGTTTTGGAACGCACCTGTCGATGGAGATGGCCATCAGGGTGAAGACGCTGGCACAGATGGTGATAACGGCGATGAATTGGTTCACCTTGCAATAAAGGTTGCCGAAGGGCCAGTGGCTGTTGAGCATGTAGGTGTAGTTGAAGGTGACGTTGAGCGTCGAGACCATGGCGTCGGCTATGCTGAGGTTCACCAGGAAATAGTTGGTGACGGTTCGCATCCTTTTGTGGGCCAGGACGATCCAGATGACGATGAGGTTGCCTCCCGTGGCGACGACGATCATCCCTGCGAAGAGCACGGTCCAGATCATCTGCCGCCACCAGGGGAGGATGAACTTGTTGCTCATCTGCAGGTCGGTCTGGTTTGTGTCGTTGCGATAGGTCAGGTTCTCGAACCATGTCGAGGAGTAGTTCATGGGGTACGGCGTGGAGTAGAAGAGCTCCTCGAGGGACTGCATCCCGCTGCACTTTCGTTGCACCCTGTAAAAACCTACCCGAGCTTTCGGCTCCGTGAAAGCTTCTGACTTTTTCTTTTTTCCTAACGGAGTACTTGTCGAATGTCTCGAAAGAATCCTTGAAAGAGTTCTGGGCTCGTTTTCTGGGACTTTCGGAGCTTCTTCAGGGCGTAGATGTCCTGTTCGGATGCCGAGCTCGAGATGTATGCGCGAAATTACTTGATTTACGCCCCTCTGTACACCCTGGTACTCGGATCACCAGCCGGGTAGGGCGTTATCGTGGACACCGCTTGCACTTGTACTTGCACGGTGCACGCTCGATTTGCGCCTGATTTATGCACTCGGCTATTAGCGAGTGCTTGGGGCCTCGTCCATCGACTGGAAGGCTTTCCAGGGAGAGCTTTCGAAGTTCGAAGTTCGTCCGAAATCGGTTTAACGTCGAGTGATCGATGGCCAATTAATCGCCATAATATCGACGCTGGTGACTCCTCGGTTTCTCCACGAGCTTTTTTGAGATTTGTCAAGCTCGAGAGTCGGAAGCTCCCTCGAATCCTCGAGTTCCGTGCCGGGGGCGCACAGCCCCATCCCGACACGGATACTTACATAGTCGCTCGAAATTGGTCGCTTATTTCGGCCGTGGAAGAGTGACTCCACCCTCAAGCTGGCAGCTCGAGCTTCTCCATTTTCACCCTTTCCGAAAAGTCCTCATATTCGCCTCCTCGTCGACCCTCGGGCCTCCTGGAGCGAGAAACTCCTCGGCTCGCAAAGCTCATCGCCAAAGCGATACGAGGAACTCGGCCCAACTTTTACCCTGGAGCTTTCTTCCTCCCCCGAGAGCTTGCACTCCGAGAGACGTCGACTTTTAAATCGAGTCTGTTTCACCCTCGCCGCATAGACTTCCTACTCTGTCTCCGAAACTTGCTCTGTCCCCTTCCTCGTGTCTTCCCCAATGTCTCAAGCTCCGAAATTACGCGCTTCTCTTGACGACTGAAAATTTCGAAAATTTTGCCACCCCTTCCAAGCGCCCGACCACTTCGCGAGATCGATCCGAGTCACTTTGATAGCAGAAAATTCGAAGGTTTAAATTATCTCCCACTTTTTCGGAAAGTATTCCACGCATCTTATTGGTGGGAGAATTTTCTAGATTTTATAGACGAGTCGCGGAATATCCTCATTGGGTATTTTTATTGTTTTATCCGGAGTTTCGTATAGTTTCAGGGAGGGGAATTAACACCCCCGATTTAGTCCTCGAATTATTCCCTCACTTTTGGGGATAATCGCCAGTTCGATTTTATTTTAATCCACCTCGATTATGTCCACTGTCGCTGCGGGGAATTTTGGATGTCGGATTTATCCTTTCATTCGATAAAAATTAGGGACACCAAACTGCGCACCGAATTTCGATAATCAAGTGGGATGTATTTTGGCCGTGTCCAAATCGATATCGATCACCTTTGTTACGAGATTCGACTGGAGTTTTTGACTTTTGACGACCGAGGAGGGATTTTTCATCCACCCACGATTGGGAATAATTTTCCTTAGAATTTTCTCGACGAATTTTCCGGATTTTCGCAGCTCTCTCTCTCGAGTCGAGCATTAACGAAACGCCGTTAATTCACGCTCCTTCCTCCCATTTTACTCCAACTTCGTTGTGATAACGGCAGTTTTGCAAAATAATCGAGAGGGAACTCGAGGAACGCATTTCCGCACTATATTCGCCTTGAAATTCTTCCATTGACGAAATTCCGCACGCGGAAAAAGCCGAAGGCGTCGATGTCTTCTCTTCTGAATTTCCCGTGGAGCTTCATACATCATTACTCGTCTTCCTTTCCGAAGCCTGGAAAATTTTCCAAAAATTCGCCCGAAAGTCTCGTCATAATTCCTCTTTATCAGTTATCGATCTTTCAGTCTCTGCAATTCTTCTCGCGGCACACTTTGCGATTATTCCTTGCCTCCGTTGATTTTTCTCAGGCTCCCTTTTAGAATCCTGGAACAGAAATCAAGGAATTTGTTTATACACTCATGCGATAAAATTCTCCCCCGAATATCGTTCGATATTTTCCACGCTTAACAGAAATCCAAATAGAACGTGTAATCTGGTATTGAAAGGACTTTTGAATTTCCCAAAATACGTCAAAAACATCCCTCCCGTCCCATACATTTCCATGTTTCACGTTATTACGTTTTTCGAAATTTGCTGCGCATTGTAAAAGTCGCCCCGAAGGGATCGCGAATTTCACGAGGGATTTTGATTTTTGGCAAATTGAGGACGGACTCTCTGCGGAATTCGAGAAACATTGCGAATTGTTGAGAATAATGGATTATTCGCGGCGAAGGCAAATCAGGAGGAATTCAATTAGGAAACTAAGACCAAGAGAGTCGAATAATCGAATCTGTTCGATTATCGGAATCTAGGGAGAAGGAAGGGAATCCCGTGTATCGATTACATTGCCAATTCAGTTTTTCATTTGGAACCCCCCTCGATTTTCGCCGATTTTTCTTCGAAATTTACAATTGATAAATAAAAGTTCCTAAATCCTCGATCATATCATTTTTTAATTTGCATGCCAAAACTATGATAAATCGAAATGGGGGAACAAATGTGAGAGATTGAAAATCTTGGAGACCGAGAGTTGGGGGACTAATTTTCTCGAGGAAATTCAGACTGAGGGAAAAATGAATGCACTTTTGCCTGCACATTCACAATGCATTACACGAGGCGGTCTTGTTAGAAGTAACCCCATTGTTAGGACGGCTGCGAGCGGGCAGGTGTTAAAGGGGAATTATGCAGACTCTATTTTCCCTGTTTACGTCCTTTTTTCCCTTGAAATTGAATAAAAGGTGACTTACAAATCGAGATCTCTGGAGCTCCGACACGCGGACATTAAACTGGATGATGGCGTGTTTAATAACGTATTTAAGTAACACAAGGGATGACGAACTAAACTCCACACCGGGAACAAAAGAGTCGCATTCCAAATGAGAGCTTTGTAATATGCTCCTTTCCGCGGGATTAACTTTCACGGGCAAAAAGTGAAATTAATTCATGATCTATACTCCGGACAATGGCGGGCTTGGCGTACAAAGAACCGCATTCAAGGTTTCTCGTTTAAAGAATCTCATGTACACAACTCCTGGAGTTAATTTAACAAGTCATACCTCTCATCCAGAGTTCACGGAATGGGTTCATAAAGAAAACAATGAGTGATATACCAGATATTTTAATAGACCCCGTAATCCGCAAATAAATGGAAACAATAGAGGAAATGATTGTTTAATTCGAGAACTGGTGGAAAGAAACGAAAGGGCTTGAATATCGTTCTTCGGTACCGCTTGTTCGACCTCTGTACTGAATTTACACGAGAGGTGGACGTCAATTGGCGATGGTAATGCACCTGATGAAAATTGATAAATCGCTAGTGCGGAAGAATCCCGTAGCGAAAATCAGCACGGGCCAATAAGTCCAGTTATGCAAGACTTCAATCATCGGCAGTTGGCCCTGCGGCGAATCAAGACATTTCCGCGGATGCATCGGACGTGGGCGATCGGTTTATATTTTTTTTTCCACTTTTTACCCACCTTCCAGTCCGGTTCATTAGGGGAGGCAATCACCAATTTCGCATGGACCGGCAAAATCTAAACAGACGAAATCCGCGAGAGGAGGTAAATTGTTCGCGATTTAAACCGAGGGGCAACTTTTCTTTTGAGGTTTCCGTGAACGGTAAAATTTATTAATTAATTCATCGTTTACTGCTTATGACAGGAATGAAACACTTCGTTCTTTCGGGAATTTACAAAATCTGGACAGACAGAATTCCCGGGGGAAGGTTAATGTTTCTTTTTTTTTTAAATTTAAGTCGCTCATTCTCTTTGGTGGTTTCGACGATCAAACTTTATTCATTATCGCGAGGAGGAAATCTTCATTTATCGTGTTTGTTTATGTCAGTGTCGCTTTTCGACACCTTCTCTTTTGTGGAGGTGCCTACTTAAGTTTTGAGCTTTCATCGTGTCGGCACTTTGCAGTGCAGAAGTGCGTCAAGCACAAAGCTTTATTCCTGGCATAAGGACTCGCGTGTCCGCGAACTCGTTTGACATGCAAGAAGTTGACTTTAATTCCATTCCATCTCCGAGAGTGGACTATCTCGGACAGAATATGAGCACTCGAGGTCTCGGGAAACAATCGCGACGTAAATGGACGCGAAAGGGAAAACGGGTGTACCCTTTTTCCAACAATAGAAAGGACAAATGCGAACGTTGAAAGCATAAGAAACATTTTATTCCGTATAAAATCAAGCGAATTAATATCGATTACGTTGATAAATGGTTAATATCGGCCACTTTGAGGAACTAACCAGACATGTCGAGACAAAGATGCCAAGTGTACTCTATTCCCAACGACACAAAAGACAAAAGCGTACATGAAAGCACAGATTTTGATTTTCTTTAAAATTAGGCACGTCAAATTATTATCGATTACCTTGGAACATGGTCAATACCGATCACCTCGCAAAACTCGACGAACTTGATCCGGACACGTAGAGGCGAAGATGCAAAGTGCGATCAAAGTGAAACGAAAGAAATATTCTGCCCGAGAGAAAATTTCCGCGCGTTCTATCACGGCAACGAGGGGATTTATATTGCGAGGAGTAATGCAAAAAATTGAGGATGATTTATATCCAACGACCGAGTATAATAAGCGGTACAAACGTGCACCAGAGTTCGCGTATTAGTCAGCCGTTTTAGCCTGCTGCAGTTGCAGTTACCGCAGTTTCCGCTCGAGACTACGGAATTAATTCGTCTCGGTTTATCCGTCAAGATTTTAGCGCAGTAGATTCATCTCAAAATGAACTGTCGAATAAATGACTAATTGTTAATTGTGAACGGGAATTTTGGAAACAGCTTTCCAAATTTTCCCAACAAAGATTAGAGTCTTAGGTGAGGTCTCTGGGTGAAAGAGAAACCCTAATGGGAATCGCGGCGAAAAAGTGCCCTCGTTAAAGAGAGGCCGCCGTTAAGTGTGAAAAAGTGTCGCAAAACCAACAAAACTGCGACCGGGTAGAGCAGATTGCGAGGTAAAAACGGGAGCTGCGAGGAGGGGAATGAAGATGGATAATTCGATCCGCAAAAAGCTGGAGATCCATGGGAAAAGAAAGGTACATCTCGTGCCGAGCAGTTCACTCACAGTGTAGGAATTCGACGGGACATTAACGCTAGAACAACCAAATCCGCCAAAATAGATAATACTTCAAATGTCCCGCTCTGAGAAAAAAAAAATTAATTAATTGAACCGAAGATATGCATCTCTGAATAGTACGAAAGAAATATTTTAATAATTCGAAGAATGAATTTCAGACTCGAAGAAATTCAAATAAATTGTCATCCCCTCGAGGAAATGTTGCATTCAATTTATTTGAGTACAGATCAATTCTTCGAATTATTTCTGTGCTTCGGTGACTGTTTTTTTTTCTTTTCTCGGTCCACCAGTGACAAAAAATCCTACGTTTATTCTAGCGTTAAAATTGAAGCTTGGGACAAAATTCGCCTATTACGAGGCTACTTGTGGAGGTCCCTTTGGGACCAAAAGGAGGAGTAAAAGGGAAGGTGTTGGAAAAAAAAATGCGGTGGGGTGGAAGAGGTCGCGTGGTAAGGGCGGGAAATAAAGCCCCGAGCGAGGGGTAGAAGATGGGTAATTCGAGCCCCAAAATGCGGAAAACACGTGGATGTACGTCGGCACGACCCACCCTTGAGCAGTCGGTGTTAGTACTAGGCAAGATTACCCCCCTATCCCTCATTCTCGCCAAAGGGCGAGGAAATCCCTCCGCCCTCGCAATTCTATTTCCCGTGATCGCTGTCAGCCAACGCCCTACAGTTCCGTTCCCCCCTTCCCGTATTTTCTTTAGGCCTGCGGAATTTATTTCGTCCTGCGACAACACTTTTTGACCTACACAAGCCAGCCCAAAATCTGGACTCGATGAGTCTATCGACGCCTTTCCAAAATCACCCTCACCTTCGGATAAATTATTCTTTCTGGAATTAATCCGTGTTAAGTTTTTATACTCAATAGTTTGGGAGTACTTTGAATTAAATTCCTCTTTTTCTTTTTTTTTTTATCGGAAACGATCGGTCTCGGTGTTTCCGGCCCGATGGGAAAATTCATTTACATCGGCAAATCGAATCGGGGGTCGCTAAATGGAAGCGCTCGCCTTTGGCGTATTTAAACGCGAATAGGCTGCGCGTTTAAACGCTGCCACGTGCCCGCTAAACAGTGGAAGTAAGTATCGCACCACCGGTGGAAAAGCAATTCTAAACCCGGACATGAACCCAATTACATATCCCCGTACAAACTAGTCCTCCGGGTGAGAGAAGTGCAGCGCTCGGGACGGTTGCTACCACGAACTTGCGTTACCCTTCATTAAAACTTGTTCCTTTTCTCCGCCTTTCTAACAGAAAATAAGAAAACCCCCTGGAGTCTCAGAACGAAGGTAATGAGATTCTAACCTCAATTAAGAGCTCTCTGTAAACCCTTAAAGAAGCTACTTTCTCCATTTCATCCCGGTACCAAAATGGCGTCGCGTAGCCGAACGAAGAGTAAGGTTGCTGATTTTCCTCGTTCAAAGATATTTTTATTGAAAATAGATATAACAAGGACTGAGAGAACTGAGAACTTCATCAGGTAGGGTCACTAGACAAGTAAATGAGATTCTAATCTGATTTAATCGTTGGATCTTCAAAGGACGCGAAAACCGTTCTCCGCTAAATTGGCGTTCTCCAAAATGGCGTCGCGGCGCCACGGTTCCAGAGGAACCAAAGCAAAGATCGATCGTTTTCCTTGCTTCCGTGTATTTTCACTGTAAACGGGGGTAAAAAAAGGCGAGGAATCCGAAAAGTTTGTCAGGTCGTACATTAAATGGGGATCGGAGAGCCGAGAGCGCGTCCAGTTTAAACGCGAGCTCGGTGCCGCAAAACAGTGGACGTATCGCTTTCGCA